CACCTCCTCTTGGAGGCCCTCCCCTTTTCCTTTTCCCTTCTCTGAGGGATCCTCTTCTTTGACGTGCTTTCCTTTTCCTTTGTCTTCGGGGCACTTCCCTTTTCCTTTTTCCTTTCCCTTCTCTTCGAGGTCCTTCCCTCCTTTTTTGCTTTTTCCAAGACCCTTCTCTTCTGGCCGCTTCCCTTTTCCTTTTCCCGGACCCTTCTCTTCGGAGTCCTTCCCTTCTCCTTCCTTTCCCTTTCCCTTTCCCTTCTCTTGGAGGTCCTTCCCTTCTCCTTTTCCTTTTCCCTTCTCTTCCGGGTCCTTTTCCTTCTCCTTTTCCCTTTCCCTTCTCTTCAGGGTCCTTTCCTTCTCCTTTTGCCTTAAGCGCGGGAGCTTGTCCATGGCGACCGCAACGAAGCAGCTGTGCCGCTGCTGAGGTTTCAAGAACTTGCCTGCATGTTCTATATATGCCATGGGCTTGCACATGTGTCTGTCTGCAGTGCGTCTGGCTTCGTGTGTGTCTGTCTGCTGTGTCATGCGTGCTGCTATGCCATGCAGTGCATGCATGCAGGGGCGAAGCCTCCTGCACAAGATGCACGGGGCGATGCCTCCATGCATTCATTTAGAGCCACGTTCACAGCGGATTTGGAGTTCGGGTTTGAGGTTAAGACGGCTTGGGGTTTGGGTCAGGGGCCCGGTTTCGGGTAGCATCGTTTGGTTCTTGGGCTGGCAGATTTTGGCATTCAGCTGGCATGTTTTTGCAACTTACAAGTGTCAAATTTTCGACTTCAGGTATGCGTTTTTTTGAGTTTGGGTGAATTAATTTTCGACTTGAGGCTAATTTTTTTTAGGTTTGAGGGAGTTCAATTTTCGACTTCAGGCGACGTTTTTTTTGGTTTTGGTGCGGTTAAATTTTCGACTTGAGGCTCATTTTTTTTTGTTTTGGGGGGGGTTGGATTTCGGACTTCAGGCGACGTTTTTTCTTGTTTGGGCGGTTCAATTTTTGACCCACGGATACAATTTTCGGGAAATAGCGTTGTGGGAGCGTCGGAGTTATAACTCCCAGCGAGTGGACTTACGGCGGACTTATAACTCCCACTTATAACTACTTAGCGAGGACTTGACTGGGACTTATAAGTGGAGCCTTAACTCCTTCAATTAGTTATAAGGCAAATATAACTCTGTATGGACTTACAACTCACTTGCTATGTCAATACACTACTTATAAATGCCCTTGCATGATTTATAATTGCACATGACCGACATATAACTCGACATATAAGTAAGGAAAAGCAAAACCCACCAAAGTACATGGCTTGCAGATACTTCCAGTCAGGGCAACGTTGCATAGAAGTCACAGTCAACGTTCAGTCAACGTTCAGGCAACGTTCAGTCAACGTTCCAGTTAACGTTGCGAAAATGCTGGCAGGGGCAGCATTTTGGAGTTTTCAAGCATAAAAAGCAAGAAATAATGTATTTCTTGCTTTTTATGCTTGAAAACTCCAAAATGCTGCCCCTGCCAGCATTTTCGCAACGTTAACTGGAACGTTGACTGTAACGTTGACTGAACGTTAACTGAACGTTGACTGTACGTTAACTGCAAATTCCTACCAAATGTAGCAAAGTTGTGGAATTCTTGCGATTTTAGAATGACCTGGCTGCTGCGCAAGATGCACTGTCAGGGCTGCATGGCTCCATTAGCGAAGACAGCGACATGGACGCTGCTATACTATACGGCGATTCAGATTTTGCTGCAATGGCATTTCATGGCAAGCCACACAAGTACGTCACGCACCATGTCACGACCCTCTAGAAACGTCATATCACGAGCCTCTAGAAACGTCATTACTCGAGTAGTCCCCAGAGCGGGGTCTAGCTTTGGCCTGCTCGCGGCTTTCCTACATGGCTTGCAGATACTTCCAGTCAGGGCAACGTTGCAGTGACTTCACAGTCAACGTTCAGTCAACGTTCAGTCAACGTTACAGTCAACGTTCCAGTTCACGTTGCGAAAATGCTGGCAGGGGCAGCATTTTGGAGTTTTCAAGCATAAAAAGCAAGAAATACATGTATTTCTTGCTTTTTATGCTTGGAAACTCCAAAATGCTGCCCCTGCCAGCATTTTCGCAACGTTAACTAGAACGTTGACTGTAACGTTGACTGAACGTTAACTGAACGTTGACTGTACGTTAACTGCAAATTCCTACCAAATGTAGCAAAGTTGTGGAATTCTTGCGATTTTAGAATGACCTGGCTGCTGCGCAAGATGCACTGTCAGGGCTGCATGGCTCCATTAGCGAAGACAGCGACATGGACGCTGCTATACTATACGGCGATTCAGATTTTGCTGCAATGGCATTTCATGGCAAGCCACACAAGTACGTCACGCACCATGTCACGACCCTCTAGAAACGTCATATCACGAGCCTCTAGAAACGTCATTACTCGAGTCGTCCCCAGGCGGGGTCTAGCTTTGGCCTGCTCGTGGCTTTCCTACATGGCTTGCAGATACTTCCAGTCAGGCAACGTTGCATAGAAGTCACAGTCAACGTTCAGTCAACGTTCAGTCAACGTTACAGTCAACGTTCCAGTTAAACGTTGCGAAAATGCTGGCAGGGGCAGCATTTTGGAGTTTTCAAGCATAAAAAGCAAGAAATACATGTATTTCTTGCTTTTTATGCTTGAAAACTCCAAAATGCTGCCCCTGCCAGCATTTTCGCAACGTTAACTGGAACGTTGACTGCAACGTTGACTGAACGTTAACTGAACGTTGACTGTACGTTAACTGCAAATTCCTACCAAATGTAGCAAAGTTGTGGAATTCTTGCGATTTTAGAATGACCTGGCTGCTGCGCAAGATGCTCTGTCAGGGCTGCATGGCTCCATTAGCGAAGACAGCGACATGGACGCTGCTATACTATACGGCGATTCAGATTTTGCGGCAATGGCATTTCATGGCAAGCCACACAAGTACGTCACGCACCATGTCACGACCCTCTAGAAACGTCATATCACGAGCCTCTAGAAACGTCATTACTCGAGTAGTCCCAGAGCGGGGTTCTAGCTTTGGCCTGCTCGCGGCTTTCCGCCATGGCTTGCAGATACTTCCAGTCAGGGCACGTTGCCTAGAAGTCAGTCACGTCGTCAACGTTCACGCAACGTTAACAGTCAACGTTCCAGTTAACGTTGCGAAAATGCTGGCAGGGGCAGCATTTTGGAGTTTTCAAGCATAAAAAGCAAGAAATACATGTATTTCTTGCTTTTTATGCTTGAAAACTCCAAAATGCTGCCCCTGCCAGCATTTTCGCAACGTTAACTGGAACGTTGACTGTAACGTTGACTGAACGTTAACTGAACGTTGACTGTACGTTAACTGCAAATTCCTACCAAATGTAGCAAAGTTGTGGAATTCTTGCGATTTTAGAATGACTGGCTGCTGCGCAAGATGCACTGTCAGGGCTGCATGGCTCCATTAGCGAAGACAGCGACATGGACGCTGCTAACTATACGGCGATTCAGATTTTGCTGCAATGGCATTTCATGGCAAGCCACACAAGTACGTCACGCACCATGTCACGACCCTCTAGAAACGTCATATCACGAGCCTCTAGAAACGTCATTACTCGAGTAGTCCCCAGAGCGGGGTCTAGCTTTGGCCTGCTCGCGGCTTTCCTACATGGCTTGCAGATACTTCCAGTCAGGGCAACGTTGCAGTGACTTCACAGTCAACGTTCAGTCAACGTTCAGTCAACGTTACAGTCAACGTTCCAGTTCACGTTGCGAAAATGCTGGCAGGGGCAGCATTTTGGAGTTTTCAAGCATAAAAAGCAAGAAATACATGTATTTCTTGCTTTTTATGCTTGGAAACTCCAAAATGCTGCCCCTGCCAGCATTTTCGCAACGTTAACTAGAACGTTGACTGTAACGTTGACTGAACGTTAACTGAACGTTGACTGTACGTTAACTGCAAATTCCTACCAAATGTAGCAAAGTTGTGGAATTCTTGCGATTTTAGAATGACCTGGCTGCTGCGCAAGATGCACTGTCAGGGCTGCATGGCTCCATTAGAGAAGACAGCGACATGGACGCTGCTATACTATACGGCGATTCAGATTTTGCTGCAATGGCATTTCATGGCAAGCCACACAAGTACGTCACGCACCATGTCACGACCCTCTAGAAACGTCATATCACGAGCCTCTAGAAACGTCATTACTCGAGTCGTCCCCAGAGCGGGGTCTAGCTTTGGCCTGCTCGTGGCTTTCCTACATGGCTTGCAGATACTTCCAGTCAGGGCAACGTTGCATAGAAGTCACAGTCAACGTTCAGTTAACGTTCAGTCAACGTTACAGTCAACGTTCCAGTTAACGTTGCGAAAATGCTGGCAGGGGCAGCATTTTGGAGTTTTCAAGCATAAAAAGCAAGAAATACATGTATTGCTGTTGTTGCGATGGCAGGCCGTCGCTGGTGACATTGATATAACTGAAGCTTTTGCGGCTACAGCGCTGCCAGTCTTGCCAACATACGTTCTACTACTATTCCGGATGCTTGCTGAGCTGCTTCACTTCGGCGCCTAATCATCAAGAGTAGTTCATGTAATAATGTTACTCCTCTCATGGCCTCATCTATGCTACATCGACTGTGCACGGAGTCGGCGTGTCTGCAAGCTGCCATGGATAGTCAACGACCGGTCGGCCAAGTTCGTCCATTTGAGTGCATGTGTGTATTTATGGGAATTGCACGAGATCGTGTACGATATTGCGGTCCCAAATGCTGCAAAGGGGCAGGGTAAGAATAAGGCAAAGGTGTCTTTCAAAGCACCGGACCCTCATTGCAACGACTCCTGCCAAACGAACCGGTTTGGAAAAGATTCTGGTGCACCAACTAGTCAGTGCTCGCCAAGAGCTGTGGCCTGTGCACTTGGCATTCTCTGTCGTAATCACTGGCCAGACCAGCAGCCCTTGAAAAAACGAGCAGCCGAGGCTGCGAATGCGCAAAAGATGTCTTAGGAGTATGCTGCCTCAGACCTTGAGGGCCTCGAGGAAATGCTCCCATTGCTCGGCCAGCTCGTCCTTCTTCTCCTCCGGCAGGCTCACGAGACGAGCCAAGAGGACGGATGCTCCAGTGACCAGGACGGACGCCAGCTTCGCCAGAATAGGGTTTGTCAGGCAAACGCCACACATGTAGATGCCAACAGCACTCTGGCTCATGTACTTTAGCAGGAGGTGCTGGCGCCATTTCGCAGACCAAGACAGTGCCCACTGAAAACTGCCGACACTCATAGCAGCACTTTCCTTCTGCTGGTTCACGGCTGCAGCTCGCTGTAGCACGTATGCTGTTAGGCAGCAGTTCGCCATGCTGGCAAACAAGTGCGACAGCAACCAGCTTTTGTCATATGTGCGACCCAGAAATATCTCCGCGAAGGGCGGGAACATGCCAAGAAGTGCAAAAGTCGAGATGTGGAGATGGGCCACACCTGTCCAATGGGAGATCTGGCTGGTAAACGCCGAAATGCAAGCCCACTGCTCGTAAGCGAGGTCAAAGTCGTCTCGATTGTGCGAATACGACAGTGCGAACCGCTCCATCAAAACGATCATGGAGCGGCTGAGCCGCAGCAAAGCAAACGCCCATGCAGTCCGCTGGACAGCCGAACTGAGGGGAAAAGCATGAGCAAAGATCTCGCTGCCCTCAAGGATGCAGAGACGGATCCTCACAATAAAGCACACCAGCCACACGCAGAAACATGCAGAAACGGGCAGCAGGTCCCACTTCAGGGAAGCCCGCATCGCCGAGTCGAGTCTCTCCTGCACTTCCGGAAGCCTCTCGGTCATTAGCTCCCGAAAACCGTCGGAGCTGCTCACTGTCATGAGAAGTGCCAAGAAGGAGAAAGCCTCCATGGCGTGGAGTGTGTGACTCCATTGCTCGAAGCCGGTGGTCATGAGGACTCTGTAAACTGCCATGGCGCACATCGTCGCAGACAAGAGCTTGGCAAAGTTCAGAAACACCTTCCGCCAGTATCCGACCCAGCCCACTGGTGCAAGCCCAATCGGAAAGTGAAGGAGGCCACTCACACTTGCTGTGAAGCGATCTGCAACACAGCAGATTTCGTCGTCACCACTTCGAGACACCTCGAAACAGAGCAGCTCCACTGCTCTTGCAAGCAAGTCACACTCCGTGGCTGCGCGCACTTGCTCGATCGAGCTGCATTTATGCGCAGCATCTGCGCAGTACGAGCTTTGCACTTCCCCCCACGGCATCGACGAAGGGGAGCGCTGTGCCCGAACATGCCCATCCACCGCTTCTCCTAGCTCTCCGGCCACACACTGCAGGACCTCCTCGTCGGCATCTTCTGACAAGATGTCTGCAGAGTGCACCGCAGATAGCCGTGTGCGCTTGCTCGCCATTGGCATCTCCACCTGAAGCGATGGCAGAACATCCACAGGTGCCTGCACCCGCTCGACTGCCGGCTCCGGGACCACCTGGACCCCACCTCCGACTTTCATCAAGAAAGCGCGGGAGCAATTCGGAGAAAGAATTTGAAGCCGCTGCGGCCTCAGACTACTGACTACTATCGCAATGCAAGAGCTCTTGCGAGGAAAGGTCAGGCCAGGCGGTTTCAATCGAGTCAAACAACCGGATGCCGCCTGGATCGCGGAAGCTAAGGCGGACGCCCGCCTGAATAGATCCCCTAAGGGTAGCTGGTCGGAATTTATGGCGGATCCTGTGTGTAACCCTTACCCATGCAACCATGAGCCGCATTTCGCTGAGCCTCTCACTCGTCGGCAAAGACTTTCAAGGAGGTCTCCATCAGCGCACGCTTTGAAGTCAAGCCACAGACCTCCACAAAGTACACCGCCTGCAGGCAGTTGCTTCACTACACACGTGCGGTTTTCAGACTCGGCAGCGCTGGGGGGACGGAGCGACAAGCAATTGCATCTCCCACAGTCGAACTCTAGAGAAGTGGTCTTGATGCAGATGACGCCCAAAATTGTAAATCTGCATAACCCTCCTCGTCACCATAGCGGCGCAAAACCTCGTCGCCTCGGCACAACTCGAATTAAGTAGTCGAAAGCACCACGTCTGTATCTTTGAGGTTAACACTTGCAGCACCAGGACTGATGGCAAAGTGTTGGGTGTAGGGCGTTGGGCGTTGGGCGTTGGGTGTTGCTGTTGTTGTCGTCGTCGTGGTTGTGGTTGTTGTGTTGCTGTTGTTGTTGTTGTTGATGTTGGTGTGGCCGCTGTTACTGTAGGAGTAGGCGCAGGAGCAGGAGTAGGAGTAGGAGTACGTAGGGGTAAGAGTAAGAGGTAAGAGTAAGAGCAGGAGTGGGAGTAGAGGTAGAGGTAGAGGTAGAGGTAGGAGCAGGTGGGAGTAGGAGTAGGAGTACGAAGAGGGAGCAGGAGCAGAAGTAGGAGCAGGAGGAGAAGGAGGGGTAGGAGTCGAAGTGTAAGCATGGCTAAGCAAAGGGAAAAAGAGAGGAAAAGTGACAGAAGAAGTTGTGGTGGCAGCAACAGCAGCAGGAGGAGTAGTAGCAGCAGCAGGAGTAATAGTAGCAGCAGTAGTAGCAGCAGCAGTAGTAGTAGCAGTAGTAGTAGCAGTAGTGGTAGTAGCAGTAGTAGAAGTAGTAGTAGCAGTAGTAGTAGCAGTAGTAGTAGTAGCAGTAGTAGTAGTAGTAGCAGTAGCAGTAGCAGTAGCAGTAGCAGTAGCAGTAGCCGTTGCGGTAGCGGTAGCAGTACCAGTAGCAGTAGCAGTAGCAGTATGAGTAGCAGTAGCAGTAGCAGTAGCAGTAGGAGGAGGAGGAGGAGGAGGAGTAGTAGTAGTAGTAGGGGTAGCAGTAGTGTAGTAGCATCTCAGCAGTATCGTACTATTGTAGTAGTATTGTATAGCAGCAGTGCAGTAGTACTGTGCAGTAGTACTGTAGCAGTATTATAATGTTGTAGTAGGAGTGGTAGTAGTACTAGTAGTGGGGGTGGTGGTGGTAATAGTAGTAGTAGTAGCAGCAGCAGTAAAAGTGGCGGTAGTAGTCGTCGTCGTGGCCGTAGTAGTAGT